TCATTATCATTGGCCTTAGTGGTTAGTACATAAATTTGAATAATATTGATATTAACTGGTCTTCCTTATTTGGTATTTTTGTTAAGTGCTGTCCAGTTGGTTCCAACCCACAGCGACCCTATATAGGGTTTCCGAGGAGCGGCTGGTGAGCTTGAATTGTCAACCTTGTGGTTCAAACCTATCTTGCAGTCCAGCACATTAACCCACAGTGCCACACCAGAACTCCTGTTTTCATTGTAGGCGTATGGATATTATCCTGTTACAAACAGCATTGTACTTCAAGACAGATTTTTTTTTTTTTTAGTAAATGTTTTATTGTGAATTATGTGATAGTTTACATGGGAGACCATTGGTTTTACATTCATTATATCATGTATCGTTTCATTGCCATAGTTATAATCCCATCCATGCATCATCAACCAACCAAAGGGTATACCCTACAAGCCTGCCCTCCCTCCCCTGTCATCAGCACACAACCCCTTGCCCACTCTGGATCTCAAGTCCCCTGCCACTCCATCTTTCTGCGTCATTGCCTCTGCTTCCATCTCTGGCGTCAACTGCTTCTCTGGGTAGGGTCCCACTCTCCGCTCTTCTCCATTGATGATCCCAGGGACCTCTGCTCCTAGACTAAAAAGTTAATCACTCCCCTCCTTGCTGTAAAATGTCCACTTTTACATTTCCATCCCTCACAATCAGTCCTGATAACAATTATTCACTGTTGCATCACAAGAGACCCATCTGCATTTCATTTCATCAGCCCTTCCTAGACAGGTTGGATACTACTCACTGGAGACTCTACCTTCCTCCATGCCCTCTTGAAAGTTTGTAAGCCAGTCACTTCTTGCCTTTGTGCCCCCACCCCCCATTTTGGGTAGCCAATGTCCAAGTTTCCCATCCCTGTCTACTGTTTGTGTGGAGGGGGTGGGAATGATTTTTGCTGTAAGGATTTGTTTCCTCCTTTGAGCTACTGTATCCATAGGTGTAGGTCAAGTTCATCAAATTGTATCAGATGACACTTTCTTTTTCTTCTTCTTTCTTCTTCGGGTTGAGCTCTGATCATCCCGTCATTGGAGCCAGGTCAAGTGGGTATTATCTACAAGTGTGGGTGTTCTTGCGTCTATCCTCTCTCTTATCAGCTGGACGCTTCACTCTCCACTCAAGTCCTCTGTGGCTATGTCACTGACTCTGAGCCCATGAGTCCCCAGGTCTTGCTACACTGCTGGCCGACCAGGTCTCCACCCGAGTTCACAGAAGTCTATTGAATGTTGTAGGGCTTAGCTCGCCGCTTCATTGCTGTTTTTCCCTCACTTCCCGTTATAGGTGATGTGTATGGTCACCAATCAGAGTGTGTATCCCCATTGCGCCTTAGTCTTGGAAGAGGATTTGCACTGAGGGGACCTGACCACTTGCCTTGATGTCTCCTAGGCAGGCATCTTGCTTGTTCTTGTAGTAACAGTCGGTCTGCCTCTATTGTTTTGTATTTTTCCTGTAGGTCTTTCTTTCAAGATGTATCTTCTGTTTTTCTAGCTGCTCCAGGCTGGTCTGCTCATCCTTTCAAGTGGAAATTTCCCATCTCTGAAGGTCTGGATGTGGTTCAGGCTTCTACCTATAGTCTTATGTATTGCAGAGGCGCCGCAGGAAGCCTCCTTCACTGGGCATGTTGTAGCCCCACTTTAGGTATTCCAATCAGTAATAGTCAGAAGATGGACTTACAAGCTTTCTATGGTGATATTTCTGGCTATTCCTTTCTCTCTCCCTCCAGTGTCCATTTTATAATATAATGCACTGAAAACCAAGATTCAAAAGACAGCCAAGCATCTTAACATTATTCCCCCCCTTTCCCCCTTCCAACCATGTCCCAATCTCTCTATCCCAGAGCCCTGTTGTTCCAAGGTTGTGTATACGTCATTATTTACCTCTGTTCCATTTAGCCCACTCAAACCTGCCTAATTGTTCTCACATCTGCTTTGTTCTTCCATTCCCCTCTCCCTTCAAGACAGATCTTGAAATGTTCTTTTTGATGATTGCTATGCTATTCCTTTTGAATTTGTTTTTTCCTGGCATAATAAACCCTATACTTGTCAAATTCAAAATGACCAATACTTGTCCATTTCATCTAATTAATGCTGAGGATATTGATCTGTATCTTTCCATTTCGTTTTTGACAGCTTTCAATTTTCCTAGACTCATACTTTGTACATTCCATGTTTCGATTATTAATGGATGTTTGCAGTGGTTTCTCCTCATTTTGAGTTGTGCCCCATAAGCAAATGAAGGTCCTGAAATCTTTACTCCATTTATCATCATGGTTAACTGTAGTTTGAGGAGGCAGCTCTTCCCTAGTCTCATTTTGAGCAGCTTCCAAAGTTGTGGCTCATTTTCAGTTAAATGCCAACTGTTAAATGCCATCAAATCAGTTCCAACTCATAGTGACCTTGTATCAGGTTTCTGAGTGGTGGCTGGTTGGTTTGAACTGTTGGCCTTTTGGTTAGCAGTCCAGTGCTTATCCTATAGTGCCACATGTTCTGGTGCTATTCATAATATTTTCATCTTTTGGCATTATATCTGACAATGCTCCATTACGATTCATGTTTTTCAGAGGCTAGCCATTCAGAAATACCCCATCTTACCTTCTTCCTAGTCTGGAAGCTCTGCAGAAACCTGTCTACCACGGTGACCCTGCTGGCATTTCAAACACTGGTGGCACAGTTTCTAGCATCACAGCAACATTCAAGGCACTATAGTAAGTCAAACTAACAGGCAAGTGGTGGTGGAAACCCTACATAGGGTTGCTGTGAGTCAGACTGACTCCAGAGCACTGAATCAAAACAACAATCGAAAGCCATGTGTAACCCTAAACATTTAAATTTTGCTCATATTTTTCAGGGCACTTTATATTGAATTATATTATAATTCCTCTGACACACTGAAATATGATGGTGTTAGAAAGTAAAACATCACCTTCTCTATAGTCCGAGCCCTAGTGGTGGCTTTCTGCTCCCATAGATTTACAACCTTTGGAAGCTCTTTACAAGTTGGAATCTACCTAATGGGTAGTGGGTTTGGTGGCACAGTGGTTGCTACTAACCAAACCAAAAGTCCTGCACGACTCTTCGCCAGTAATGGGGGTGTGGGTGTGGATATGACAGTCTGCTTCAGTGCAAATTTCAGTCTTGGAAACCCTATGGGGTAGGTTGACTGTGTGTTTTATGATAGATGACACCTACCAACAGCAACAAATCCATCAGAATTGACTCCACCTGAAGGGGTTTGGTTTTACAGTCTTTTTTTTTTTTTTTTTACCCCTTTGTTTAATGTTTGTAACATAATCAGGAAATCATAACACATTCAGCTATAGTAGATTTTTTTCCTAATTCTAAGCCAATTTTGGGGGTGTGAGTGGAAAGAGGATGTAAGACTGTGGGATATGGGCTGATGGGGTGCAGTCAGCAATGTAGTACAAAATTGGGGTCAGGCAGGGCCCACTTTGGAGAGGCAGATGAGTAGGCTTAACTCAAGTCCCTATCCCTGCCAGAATGGCTAAAGTGTTAGAGAATGGCTTTTGGATAGGATGGAAACGTGTAGGTAAGGATGAAGTTTTCTCTGGCTAGAGTGGAAATTTGGTATTAAGAGGGCCTCATTGAATCCCAATAATAACCAAACAACTGGTGTCCAGGACAGGACAGGAAAGTGGGAGGCAGGAAGCTGAAAGGCTCAAACTTCTTTCCCTGGGTTTGTTCAGGGATATAATTTCAGCAAATACAGGGGACCTAATAAGAGTCAGGAGCCCTAGTGTGGCGCTGTGGACTAATGTGCTTGACTGCAAGGTCGGTTTGAACATCAAGGTCAGCAGTTCAAACCCACTAGCTGCTCCTTTGAAACCCTATACAGGGTCACTGTGAATCAGAACTAACTGGATGGCACTTAACAACAACAAGTGTCAAGGGAGTGCATCGGCTCCAAAGATATGCACTGGACTGTAAGCCAAAGTTTGCTGTTCGAGCTCGCCATCTGCTCCACGTGAGAAAGATTTAAAGGTCCTGCGAAGATTTAAAGCCTCAGAAACTCTATACAGGGTAGCTATGAATGGAATTGACTCCGTGGCACGTAACAACAATAAGTGTCTGGTACGGTGTAAATCGCCAGAATGTAAAACCAAGTGAAATGTGGTCTTGCCTTTGAAGCACTCACAGTTCAGCAAAAATCGCTTTCACATTCCTCGTGGACATTGATAACTTTTATCCTGGGAGTTTTCAGGGGGAAGTTGGATCTAAATCCATCCAGAATTTCCTTCTAAGAGTTTCAAAACAACAACCAAAAAAACGAGATACGGCATGGGATGGAGAAGACAGAATTTCAGGTCTTGATGCCAGATTTGGGTTCTGCCAGACGCGGGGCCGTGGTGGTGTTGCCCGCTGGCCAGAAACAATCAAGATCGTGCCGCGCACTGGCACTCTCTGATTTGTGGCTTGGGCGCAGCCCGGCTCAGGTTCAGGCAGCCGGGAACCAAGCAGAGACTGAACGGAGTCTGGCTTCAGGGCGAGGCTGAGTGGCTCGAGCCCACAGAGGCAGGAGTACACGCTCTTGCCTCTTCCGGCTACCTAGATAGTGATCCGGCTCCACCACTCCCCGGCTGGTCAGAGCCTTCTCTTTCCCAGGCCTTTCCATCAGCTTTCAGACAAAATCCAGATCGCAGTTTACGACCTCTATAGCCACTCAGACACACCGCGCCCGCGCCCCCTGGGGCAGGAGCAGAATAGTGGCGGGAGACCCGCGCCCAGAGACCAGGAGGGGAAAGGAGGCGGTTCACCGCGGGGGGCGGGAGGGGGC